CAGGTCGGTATCGTTATCGGGTACAACTCTTTGCCAGCTGTAGCTTGACTTTGAAGAGCACAGGTCTCCTGCGAACGCCAAGATGCGTAGTTGTAAAACAACGTCCTGATAACGTTGAAGAAGGAGGGAAAGGGTGCTCGGAAGGAATAGTCGGCTACTATCGAGTGGCTAAAAGTCGAAATGCCAACTTGACGCTCGCCAACTTTCTACCCCGCAAATCGACCCCACACTCAACCGCCACGACAACAAGTCATCGGTTGTTCCGCAATAGCTCTTATCGAGTAAAACACGAGATATGGTCGAGGTTTGAGAGAAAATCATGGGCGCCAGTGGCCGTAACGAACAACCGGTAAACATGCCGCTCCGGTAATCGTTCAGAAACAACGGGTCAAGCATTGCTCCCGTGGACGGCATGAGGTAACTTTCCCCAGGATCCATCTTTGGAATATAAAACCCCTATCGTCTGTGAACAAGTGTGATCTTGTTCTTCTCCACATCCCAAGACGATGGTCCACGTAAAATCCTTTTTGCCAGATCCGCCCGAACTACCCCCAACCAACATTCATGCTTTTTTCATCGAACCCCGCGAGACGGTGGACAAGGACTATGTTTTCTTGATCGATGGTCTGACTGGAGAGCAATGGACGCGATCATATTTCAAGGAGCGCGTTGACCGTGCGAGGACCGCGCTGGACATGGGCGTTGAGCGAAAAGGGTTGGGGCTCGTACAGTCGAACATGGTTGCTATTCTTAGCGAGAATTGCATAGTCAGTAACTTTTTTGATGGTACTCAATGGCGCTTCTTACGTGATTTCAGGAATATGTGACACTGATTCACGCCCTCTGTTCCTTGGCCGTTCCGTTCGCACCTTGCTCGGCCTATGCTACACCATATGAATTAGCACACTCTCTTCGACTCTCAGGAGCATCCCATCTTTTCGTTCATTCGGATAAATTGAAGATAGGTCTTCAGGCGGCCAAAGAAGTCGGTATCCCTGCTTCCAAGGTGTATGTTCTTCAGGGAAAAGCTCCTCAAGGTTTCATAACTCTGCAACAGCTCATAAAACGTGTAGAGCTGGAGAAGATTCCTATTGTCCCAATAAAGCCTGTGACCGCTAATCAGCTTGCATTCGTCTTGTTCTCTAGTGGTACTACCGGACTGCCAAAAGGTAATCCATTTGATCCATTCAAATATCGTCTTTCTCACGTATCATGATTCCAGCCGTAGCACTGTCGCACGACAATGTAGTTTATTGCACCCTCCAGAGCGTTGTATGGATGGCAACGATAATGGCATCAGATTTTGTAAGTTTTAAATTTATGCTAAATATAGTCTCTTATACCTCAATATTAGGATTATCCAGCGCCGCCTGAAGGTCATAATCCTGTTTTAATGGGTTATCTGCCAATCTATCACACTTTTGGTCTCCATACAATATGCCTTAGGTAAAGGATGAAACTTTATGCTTATGAAGTAAATCACTAACGAATCTAATAGGTCACTGTTGGCTCCTGCCACGATCGTAATTATCCCACGTTGGAATACAGACTTAGTACTGGACCTCATCCCAAAGTAAGGGCGAGACCAAGTTATAATTAATACTTGTAATTAATACTGGTCTAACCATATCTACAGGTACCGCGTGACAACTCTACCAAGTGTCCCATCTATCATCCATCAACTCGCATCCTCGCCCAAGCTAGCCAAGACGGATATGAGCTCTGTCCTTGCTGTAACATCTGGGGCAGCATATCTACCTTTACCACTTGCTGACAAGATACAAGGCAAAGTTGGGACCAAGAGCCCGGTATTGACCGGCTATGGTCTCTCAGAAGTGGTGAGCGTGCTTCCTGTATAAGTTCTAGTACCTATAATAACATTTAAATTAGACGATTAGTGCCCTTAATATGACTGTAGAGGGTCAACTGGGAGGAAAGTGGACACGAGTACCGGACTCAACTGGCGCACTTATCCCAGGAATGGAAGCACGTACCGTCCGCGAAGACGGCACAGAAGCAGACTATAATGAAAGCGGAGAGTTGTGGCTCAAGGGCAAGAATGTCGCCATGGGCTATTATCGCAATCCAAAGGCGACAGCTGAGACGTTTGTGGACGGATGGGTGAGAACAGGGGACCAGCTGTTCCGAGAAGATACGACTACCCGGTCTCTGTGAGAACATCTGCATGGGGTAGTAGCGCATCAGTATCCAACTCCAGGTCACCAATCAGTCAAGAAGTGTCCTCATCTGATGATCTCAGATGGAGAGATGTCATGAATGCAAATTCGAAACGGTTGAGCAAACGAATCCACCGCGAGTCCCGCATTTCCGTCGCCTCTACATCTTCCAACTTCTTTGGTGGTGGTGGAGATATACCTTCTCCCATCGATATCCCTCCTATGCCAACACCAATTACCCCAATGACGGGTAACCGAAGACTAGAGCCAATCGAT